GTAGTAGTGTCTCATAAACAGCACAGACAGCTTCAGCTTCTGCAAAAGAATATTCTGTGGAGCTTGGTCCTTGAAGAACTTAATGTGACCTCAGTAGTAAAATGTAAAGCCCATTCCTTTGGCTTCTACAAGCCAGTGATCTGATGATGGCTCAAGCTGTCTTCCATGCTGTCTGGGAAAACAGGGATTGTTTTTAAGTCCTAGAGCAAGGGAAAGGTAAATATATTTGAAGGATAACATAATTTCTTTCTTCTTTGCCATTTCAATTATTTCTCTGCAGCCTTCCTTTGTATTTTTGACTTAGAATGCATTCACAGAACTCTGCTTACAGTAGACCATTTAAACTAGCAGAAACATCAGCTTTAAGTGAAAACAATGCCCGTGTTTTATTTCCTATGACTGTTTATCAAAGCATTCCACTGAATCTTTTCAAGTCTTGGTTTCCACCCCCACCCCCCTTTCTACTGGCAGTCTCGGTCTTGGGGGCAGCTGCAGGGGAAGGCAGCAAGGAAGAGGGGAAAGCCTTCTAATGTATTTTATCCAGTTACCATTGTTATACTATGTACTTAATAACATACTGGAGATGGTGCTTAGGTGAGATGGTGTAATGGTTTGATGTAGTTACTGTGTACAGATCTCTGCTTCTTTACTGTAACAGTACAGTCTGTCTGCTGCTGCTTTCCGCTGATTCTAGCACTTGTGTTCTGTTTGACTCTTTGAAGCCTGCAACTACCAAAAAAGATGTATTTTTCCAGAGTTTTGCCATATAAGGTTGTAAAGATTCAAATATGACAGTTAAATGTTGTTTAAAAAATTCCCTGCTTATACATAAAACATGGACTTTCTAAAAACAATGTGCCCTGTCTGTACACAGAAAGAAGTCTTGTACTTCTTCAGTCACAGCATTAGATAAAGTGCTTGCAAATGGTTTGCTTTTTCTCTTCCTGCTCTCTCTGCAGTGCACATATATTGAGATTGAGCAGGTGCCGAAGACTCACGCTGTTGTGCTGAGCAGGCCCTCCTGGCTTTGGGGGGCAGAGATGGGAGCGAATGAGCATGGGGTCTGTGTAGCTAATGAAGCCGTCGTGACCAGAGAACCAGCTTCTGAATCTGAAGCCTTGCTTGGAATGGATCTTGTCAGGTGAGTGGCTTGCCAAGCTGTGACCAGCCTTTTGAACACCAAGGATTAGATGATGATGATACTGCGTATCAGCTTTGTGGTGATGGCATTAGGAGATTTTAAAATGGTATAAGCAGACCTGTCTAGGCAGAGCTTCAGACACAGCTGAGTTAACACTTAAAACACTTGGAATCTGAATCTGTTTCCCAAATATGTACCAGTCTAATGTAGGTTCACTAAACCTACCTTGTGTACCTACCTTATAGTCTAGAAGTGGCTGTTCTGACAGGATAAGAGATATGATTCCATTGTTAATAAAGAACTGCTAACTGATTTGCGGCATCAGATTGCTGGTGTGTCCTTCATTCTCCCCCATGTTATAACAGCCTACTCTGACCTAAAAAGCTTATCCTGGGCTTATAGCCAACTGTAGGCATAAACAGACTATGTCTCACTTCAGCCCATGCATTCCAGTGTAAACCATTGCCCTTTTTTAAATGCTGGCAAACTCCTGTAAGTCTGTTCATTGAAGCCTGGCTGCCTAAAAGGCTTGTGCTGCACTGTAAGCCTCAACCTGCATGCTGATCTTGTAGTGAGAGAATTTAAAGCGGAGTTGGGTGGGAGAAAAAAGCTGAAAATGAAAGAACAAGAGAAAATAGGGCAAACATTAAAAGAGAAAGGGAGCAAATGGACTCAGTTAAAGATGGGACAGGACAACTGCTTGTTTAAGTGAATCAGTGTTAGACCCAGTGGTCCTGCTGGCATTTGCCCTAGGGTATTTAACGAGTGGGTTGAACCAATTTCAGGTGAATGCTCATTTTTCTTGAAACTAGTGAAAGATGAAAGTGGTTCTGGATGACTGGAAAAGGTTAAATGTTGTGGATATACTTAATAGAGTTAAAAAGAGTTGTGGTTATAGACCAGCTTAACCACCGTTCCTGAAGAGGAACCACTTAAATACCACTTAAATATCAAGGAGTTGCTAAATATGCTATAATAATTGTTAGTCAAGAAAAATCCCATTGGACCATTGTGCTTTACTCCTGCAATGAGTTAACAAATTGTATGAGTGGAGGATAGGAAATAGATACCTTGACTTTTAAGAGGGCATTAAAACCTTAGAAGGTATTCTCATAAGCAAGCTGGGATGCATGAGTTAGAAGAAATTGTTGTTAGGTATATTGCTGCCTGAAACTGTAATTGTAGATGTTCTCTAACGATGTCTCTGCAGAAATACAGTATCTGGTTCCAGCTGCTGTTAACCAAGAAGACTATGAGCCAGGTGGAGAGAATGCAGTGGAAATGGGAAATACGATCTAAGATCTATAGGATCTGGCCAGTGTGAAAGTCATGAGGGAATCTGGGTTATGTTTCTCTTTGGTGTTTTCTCTAAACTCTGTATTACAGAAGGAATCTGAGGAGAAGCTGTGCCTTGGAGGACTAATTGCAGTGATGAGTTTAATTGCATGAAGGGAGAATCAAGGGCTCTTTTAAGAAAACATAGGACAAGCTTTTGTCGAAAAAAAAAAAGTTAGGTGACTTTCCAAGCTCCACCTTTATTTTTTTTCCCCTCCTACCACCATTCTTTTGAAACTTTAACAAAGCAGAGTTCTGCTTATTTTTATCATAGTTATTGCAGTCTCAAAATACTTTTTAACATTCAAATACATAGGGTGTCCAGCATCTCTAGGTTTACTCACACTAGCAAATCAGGAGAAATAGGTAGTAAACTATGAGTGAACATTATGTGTAGGTATTACATTCCCTCTCTTCCTTTTTATCTGCAGAAGAAATGGTCTGTAGCCTGAATGCAGAGTGTGTTTTAGGCAAGGAGAACTAGAGATATGTTGCAGACTACCATCTGCCGCTTGCTTCAGCCAAAGTGATTCCTTCTCTTACTGTGAAGACTTGGCCAGTTGCATTAAGCTTATCTGTTTTGGATCACCTCATGGAATAGAGAGCCATCAAGTACTAAATCAGTCATATCGCTTGCAATGAAGCAGCTGGCACCAGCTCTGTCTCTTTTTACCCATCTGAGAACAGGTGAATTCCGTCACTCAGGATTTATTGGAATAAAAATAAAGCCTAATTAAGAAATGTACATCTCTGCTGGCCAATTTTTTCTCACATCTATGTATATGTTGGACTTCTGTATATGTGTCAGACCTTAGCGAAGGATGAAGATTGATATTCTGTGAGTGCATGTATGACTAGCTGTTTGCTAAAGAAACTTGCAGCTTCATTCCCTGAAACATGTTCTTCAGAGCCCACGTAAGAGTTGTCAACCCAGGAATGTCATTCAGGCAATAGAATCAAATTTTGCTTGACTGCTCAGGCTCCCCTAAGAGTTTGCTTCTACATTCTCTTAACATGATTACTGTTTTTCTGTAGGGGAGGCTTCCTCTCTCTTGAACTGATCTGGAATTGTCACTTTTCAGTTAAGATTTAAAATCCAGCCAATATGGGCAAAGGCTGTAGGTAGGCTTTGGGAGAGCACATGGCATTGAACAGACCAGAGGCATCTTTCAGCAGGGTAGTATAGTTCTGAAGTGAGCTTGTTTTGTTGTTGAAATAGGAAATTGAAAATTCATCATAGGCAAAGGATTTTTTTTCAATAGAGGTCATGACACACATCATTAAAGATGTATTTCACAAAGTTTTTACCTCATTTAGTAACTGACTCCTGTCTTAATGACTGAAAAGTGTGTTACCCCGAACACTGCTGTATCTGAGGATTAAGACCCATTGGTGTACACTTTTGCTTATGCCAGTACAGTTAGAACAGGATGACATTATCATACAGTTTATTATGAAGAAACCTGTAAAATATGCTCTTATTTTTGTATAGTTGTCTTAATTTTTAAACCCTGTGTGTTTGTATTATTTCTTAGTTGTTTTCATTGCTGGTGCAGTCACTTTTTCAGAGCCACACAGTTCTATGATTCTGTGTCAGCCTTGGCAAGGAGCCAAGAACGCTCTTCAAAATTGTGTTAATTTGTTTACCGATTTCTTTCCTTAGAGACATCAAACCTGAATAAAGTAGAATGTCATCATCATGTATGTTACTGGATTTGGAAAGTTGGCATCTCTAACTGATAAGTTAAAAAGCTTAAGATAATGTTTTGACAGTGTGATATCATATTGGAGGTACTGAGGCAATGGATTGCATGAAGTCACTGAAATTTTCCTAATGAACACTTCAAGGTCTTATCTGGGGGTAAAATTACTTAAAGCTTTCTTCCTGCTCACCTTGAAGGGTACTCTGAAATGTGTTAGTGGGAGGGTTATGCTGCAGTTACCCACGACACCGATGCAGAGATAAGTGGCAAGACCTATGTTTCTGTGGAGATGAGCTGTGTGGTTGTTGCGTAGGAGGGGTTCTTTTGCTGTCCCTTGTGACTGACAGATAGGAGCGCCCAAACAAAAGCAGAGCCTAGGCCTTTGTTAAATGGAAGTAAATGTAACATTGGAGCCATTTACAAAAAGCATACCTGAAAGAGATTTCTTCAGCCTTGATATCTGCTGTAGTTTTGACAGACAAAGCTAGACCATAGCCATCTTGGAGGGATAATGTCAGGGAGACATTATTAAAAGTTATGATGTTATGTCTCCTGGCAGGTTTGGATCTAATTATAACCTGATGCTTTTGGTCATAAACTGAGGAGAAGGGAGCAAGTTATCATTGAATCTAGTGAGTATATGGTCACTGAGGTAGTTGTCAGCCCATTTGTTTACCTGTGGCAGTGACAGCTCTTTGAATTGCTCTTGGGGAATAAATAAGACGTGCTTTTGGACTGGCTTTGAAATGATTTCTGTGCTACATGCTAGGACTGGCATCTCTATATTGCTCTGAAAAAGCGATTGCACCAGTGATGGAAAGAAAGAATGGAGGAATAACATGAATGTATAGGAACTAAAAATGGAGACAACAATACAAAACCAATTTCAGCTAATATGAGAAACAAGACAAGAGGGAACAACTATAAATGCAAAGTAAGACGATGATGGGGGAGAAATTGTCACTGTAAGTTAGGACCTAAAATTCTTCTTTGCTCTCCTTTGTCATGAAGTGATAAATCAATGCTGCTGAGAGAGATGAAAATACTGCTTTCAACAATTTAACCTAAACCAAGGTTAACAGTGGCCAGCTATCTAGGAAAAACAGGCCCAGTGCAGAGATCAGATAGAAAACTATTTAGATCAGCAAATTTTATCCATATTATCAGAAGCTGATTTGTGTACTGTAGTTTTTAGGAAAGAAACAGTAGTGTTTTCTTGTCATGTGATTTCCAGGGAAAACATAGATTAGTTTGGGTTGGAAGGGACCTTAAAGGGCTAGCACAGTACTTAGGTTTAAAAGGTGAATTTCTTGGAACTATCCATCAGTCAAAATGACTTTGTCCATAGAGCTATTAGAAAAAAATAAAGCAGAAAATATTAAGGTGACGTAACCAACAGAGAGAAATGTTGGACTGATCCAGGTAACTGTCCTAAAGGATGGAGGCATAGATATGCTGCTGTTTGAAATAGTGCATTTCCTCATTAGCAGCAATTATGTTTTGGAGTGGAATTGTTTGCAGGTCTGATTTAGGCTTTCCTAGTTACTGCTTTCATTGATTTACTTGGTTAGGGCCTTAAATTATCTCAAGGGATTATTTCATCCCATTTATTCACGTCAGGATATAGTAATTCCTTATAGCTTTGTAAAACCTATTCTTGTTCCTCATCTTTCTTTTCCCTAAAATACCCTTGATTTGCTCAAACTTGCTTTTAAAATCATGTTCTTTCAGACATATGGTCTCCTAGTTCAGATGAAAGCTGTATCTGGTGTTAAATATTTCTTTTGGGGAAGCCTCTGCAGGAACGCTGAAGCATGACTGTGCACAAATGCTTCTGTCTACAGTGTGCATATGCATTCAAGGATAACATACATCTAGCTTCGATGGCCAAACGAATATTGGAGCATTGGAAAAGAGAGGTTGCAGAGAGATTGTAATACTGAGTACTTCTTCCATTTTTTGATCTCTGGTAATATTAATTTGCAGTACCCCACCTTCTGTACAGTAAAGTAAGCTTGCACACAGCTGTTACTTTAAAAAGACCTTTGCAAATTAGCCTTCAAATTTATTCTGCCTGGGGTGGGCATAAATAGAGCATTGCATGTTTACAGTGCAGTTGAGGTCATTGGTTGGTATTTGGACTCTTTAAAAACTAAAAACCAGCTATGGTAGGCGTCAGAATGAAGAAGCAGTGTAGAAAATAAAGGCTTGAAACAAATTAAATCATCTAATATCTCATCCTGTAATTCTAGTAACTCAGTAAAGCAGGAATTCTTACAGTAGGCATACTTCTTCGGTATTTTTAAACCAGATTAGTGCTGATGTTTAAAATCAGTAATTTATGGAGACCTCACTGTTACGTGTCTGTCTGATTTCTCAGTTTTGCCCTTTTCTTACAGACTTGGCCTAGAAAGAGGAGCAACAGCTAAAGAAGCATTGGATGTAATAGTCGCTCTGTTGGAAGAGCATGGACAAGGTGGAAATTATTATGAAGATGGGAGCTCATGCCATACTTTCCAAAGTGCATTTTTGATTCTGGACAGAAATGAAGCCTGGATACTGGAGACTTCTGGAAAGTACTGGGCAGCGGAAAAAATCACAGGTCAGTATCACTCACAGCAAACCTTCCTTATTATAAATAGCTGTAAGAATTGTCTTGGAAGAATTGGTCTTAAAGTTATGGAGTTTAACTAAATGACCAATTTATGCAAGTGTTTAATTAAATAATTGATTTTAACTTTATGTAATTGTACTATTCATTTTTTTTTGTTTTTAATGTTGATTTGCACTGGCTGATGTAACTCAGCGTTTTCTGTGAAGCTGGAGATTGTTGCCTGTATACCTCAGCTATGTAATAATCATGCTTAGATTTTTGTCTTTGATAAGTGTTGTATTTTCCTAGATTTATTTACTGTTTGGAGTGTGTCAAGTGTCTTTCTGATGCAGTTAATGCCTGAATTTTTACTACAAATCTAAAATATTGAGAAGGAAGGATAAGCATTGATAGCTTTGAGAAAAGGGCTTGTGTTGGAACGGGCTGTAAGGTAAAGGGCTTGTGTTGGAATGGGCTGCTGCTGGTTGCTTTAATGCAATAGATACAGTCCCCTCATATCAGCGTTTCTTATCTGATACTGCAGAACAATACTTATCTGCTCTTTAAATTTGTAGGTGGTTTCTTTTTCTGTAGGTGTGAAGCCAGAGCTGCCAAACTGTCTTCTAGATTTCACTGGCTTGGTGGCTGATCTTAATTAAAACTTTGCTGGCAAATATATGCTGCCTTAATATACAAATGTCTCAGGTTTTATATTTAATTTATTATCAGTTGTTGGTTTTGGTTTTGAAGGGATTTTTATTTTCATAAGAGTAGAGCTTTTTAAAATTTACTCACATTTGAATGAATTAAAAATTCAAGTAACTTGGAAGGATTTTTGGCATCCATGCTTTGAGCTGTGGCAGATACATTGAATTCGGTTTTCATTTCCCATTCAATGAAAGGTAGGAGATACCAGATATGGGAAGGTGGGAGGTTTAACTTTGAAAATCCCAAAGCAGAGAAATAACACCAGCCTGTGTAAAGTTGTGTGATGGCCTATTGGTTGGTTCATGCCATCAAATATGAATCAGCTTACCTTAGCAGGGATGGTGCTTTCCCAATCAAAGCTTGCATTTTAAGGAAACTTGCAGGATAAAAGAAGTCCTCTAGCACAAACAGATACCAGACATAGGGGAGGGAAGAATGATAATGCTGTCCTCGGAGTCCGAATTCTGGAAAGGAGCTGGCTCCTGAGGCTCCTGGGGTCATGCAGTGACATCCTGCTGCCTTCTGTTGACATACCTGGCCAATATTTGAAGAACAGTGTTTTCCACTAGCCATTTTAGCTGCATCCAGCAATACATAACCTTACCATCCTTCTTCCCAGAAAATATACTGCTGTATTCACCTGCTGCTTTTAGCTTTTTGAAATGACACTGCAATTCTGTTCTGATTTTACCAGTGCATTTCTCTTCAGGAGGTCCCTTCGAGCCGCAGATAAGTAGTTTCCATCTCCTGCAGTCTGCTGAGGCTGCCAGGCTGCTGGCTATGTAAGAACCGCTGTATTTCATAGTTTGTTCAGGGGGTTCTTCTTTGCAACCATAGGCGTGCCTCTTAGGCTTTCAAATGAGTGCACAAATGCTGCTAAAACAGGGAAAATGTGTCATTCCCCAGTGTGAAGGCGTTTCTTTCCTGATTCCGTTTCTATCATCACTGCTGCAGTTCTGTAAAGATTATAGTGAATATTTATCAAGCAACTCTCTTACAGTAATTTAAGGATAAACACTTTTACAATCCTTCCTCTTACTGCTCTTCAGTCAGAGTGGAAAACTTTATTTGCTTGGTAAATTTTCGTTTCTTGAAGGAGATCAAACCCATGAAATACTATTTTACATAAGTTACTAAATGTAATATTTAAAGAGCTCTTAAAGAGTGGCTTGCCTACCTTGATATGAACACAAATATTCCTATCACTGAAGTCAAGAAAATTTACTGAAAGGTTTCATGTTTGGAAGTGTGGATCAGAACAACCTGTCAGTGATGCTGGTATAAGTTGGAACTGAATGGTAGTGACTTTTTCGCAGAGTGCTGCAGAGAACTTCCTACTCTAATTGTTACTCATTATTTAAATTGCATGCACAAGGCATTACAAAAGCAAGCTTGCTTTTGTGGAAGACAAAATAAGCTTTCACAAGTGCTGCTTTGGTTTCTGTTTAAGAAAAAGTTTGTGCCAAATTCGAGAATCTGGTTTTGTTTTAGTTTAGCTCAGCTCTTTCTCTGGCTTCAAATGCGTTTGCTTTATGCTCTCTGAGGAATATCTGCAGCAGCCACTGTTAGTCATGCTGTAGATATATTGATATAAGCACTGCAGTGTTTTTGAGAAAAGCAAATTAAAAGACCCTTTAATGTTCTTTGAAGGCTACTCACACTTTCTTTTTAGTTCATGCCATTTGAAAATTTAAGATTTAAAATTAAGTTTAATTTAAGCCTATCCTGTGACTAAGAATAAAACTGTTTTTCAGCTGGGAAGCTTAAAGCAATTGGTAAGCTTTTAAAACCATTTTCCAAATAAAATTTTCAGTTCTGGGGTGCAAGGAATGTTCGTGAAACTAAATGCAGTCAGACCTTGAGCCTTGCTGTGGCAGTGGAATACCCCATTGGAGACAAGAGTAGGTACATTTGGTGACCCCTGTTATTTCATGGTCAGAATGTGAGATGTCCAGATTGTGAAACTGGTGTTCTGACTACATAGCGCTATTAATCACAAGGCAGTGTAAATATCTAAGTAGGGCACAGAGAACTGAGCTCTGCAACCTGCAGTGATTGGTTATTCTGTGTGTGTTAGTTGTGTAGTTATGCAGTCATGCCAGTGTACATCCTAACCAATGGTTTAATTTGTTTCCTAATTGAAATTAAATTGTCCTTCCAGCTTCTTCCAGAAAAACTGTATTAATGCTCTCTTTTAATATGTGGCTCTTTCTACAGAGGGGGTGAAATGCACTTGCAATCAGCTTTCATTAACTACAAAAATTGATGCTGAGCATCCTGAACTAAGGGATTATGTAAGAAGTCAAGGCTGGTGGAATGGAGACTCGGACTTCAATTTTTCTGAAGTGTTCTCTCTCAATGATGACCATTTAGCCTGCTCTTCTGGCAGGGAGAGCCTAGAAAAGCAAGGTGGTGAGTGTTGAACCATCTTCCTGTATGTGCAGTGGGCTTTTTAGTCACTACTGCCTCTTTTTCAGGCATTCTGTCCAGAACTGCATGTAACTGAGACTACCTCTATGTGTGAACGATGTGAAGAGAAAGACGAGAGCTGGAGACTGTCCCTAAAATTGCCACAGTTTAGGATGAAATCCTTAAGTCCCCCTCAAGTTTAATGCTTTAAACCAGGATTGAAATTATAAAAAACTTTGCTGCACATAACATGATGTGCATGATGTGCCACTACATTTGTGCTTTGGTGTAACTATAGTGACCCTACCTGCTGTAACACCCTGTGAATGTTTCAAAATTTTACCTGAGAGCTAATGGAATTAGGTGAGAAGTGGGAGATCAGTGTGCTCATGTTCTGCCTGGGCTTGGGTAGAAGTAGCTTCTTAGAGGAAAATGGGTGGTTTATGCAAGTAATTTTGGTGATTTTATGCAAGCTCATGGTGATTGCTAAAGCAATACTACAGACATGATGGCCCTCTTGAAAAATACCCTTTTAATGACATTTCTCCCTACTTAGCTATTTTAATACCTAGTTAATGCTGCTTACTGTTCTCTCTTACTTAGCTAGGCAAGTTTGGTCTGGGTTTATATTGTTTGAAGAGAACTTATTAATTGGAATTTGTGGTATGTCCATGTCAAGTGTCAGTGGTTGTATTAGGTCAAAACCCATTCAGGCTAAAATCCTTACCTGGGGTCCAAGCCATTGAACACTCAGAAATTTTTCTCTTCCCTCATATAGGTGATGTTTCTGCACAAGCCATGATTGATGTCCTGCGTGACAAGGACAGCGGTGTCTGTGTGGACTCTGAATCTTTCCTTACTACAGCTAGCATAGTGTCTGTTCTGCCTCAGGACCCTAGTTTTCCCTGTATTCACTACTTCACTGGCACGCCAGACCCTTCAAGGTAAGCCACAGCACTGGGATTCCTTGGGGGCAGAGCAGGTGATGGGTTGGGAGATATTAAACCCTGCTACCCAAATTGGAACATACTTTGAGAGTGTGTTCTAACCAGAAATGCAATCAGTAGTTGCTGGTGTGTAATCTGACAGTCCTGTGTTACTGAACTGCATTTTGCTGCAATTCTAAATGAGCAGCACTGGGCTGAAAGGCTGGATCTGGAACTTTGCTTAAATTCAGAGCTTCTAGAGTAAATGCAGCTCAGAGAGGTCCCAGGAACTACTACTCCAGTCTAGTTGCTTTCCAGTGGGTTCTTACTGAGATGATGAGGTTGTGGACCATTTTAGTCACCTCTTAAACAAGTGGGTGCAACACTGAAACAAAGTGTCTAACTAGCAAAGAGGGGGTGTATACTCTAGGCAGCCTTGTATGATATCTAAACGTTAACAGAGCAAAACATCTGCAAGTCCCAGGTATCACAATTACGTTTTTTATTGGAGGGACAATTTCCAGTTGCTTTAAATGATGTCATCTTTAGTTGAAGGCAGCACAGGAGATAAGGGAACTCATGGGCCAAGTAATCAAAGAACTAATTCATTATTTTGTTTTAAACAGAATCCACCTGGGATTCACAGAAATTAAACTAAAACACTTGCAGTTATTCAGGAGATCTGCCACTTGCATTGAGGTAAAGAGGTTATGGAGAGAAGAAAATAGGACGTTTGAACAGCTGACAGTCATTCCTGTAAGAGTGGTAGTAAGCAGGAGGTTCTAATGAGGGCTACAGAAGTCATCCATGCCAGAGGGACTTTCCACCCATCTTGCATTATGTAACTCGGACTTTCAGAGCTAAGTATGAAGTTTGAGCTTGGTTACCAGAACTTTGACTTAGTCCAAATCCTTTGAGATAAAAAGGAGCAAAGCTTCAAATTGTTTTGGTGGGATTTCTGTTCTTTTAAAAGGTGGAAAATCTAGCTGTAAAAATCCCTTGTTCAGAGGCCCTTCTTGCTTTATCTTACACTCTAATGCAGTAAAAACCACATTATTTTAAGTGCAGCTAGTGAGTCACATAAACTCTTAGTCAGCAAGGCTTCATGACAGTGATGGAAAGGGTAGCAGCAATGAACCTGCTGGCTGTGTGCAGTCAGTGGTGATTAATCACGTTTTGCAGAAGTCTTGCATTTCTGGCAGCTGCTTTACTGCAGAATGCAGGGTGCAGTTTCTCCATGCACTTGCCAATACCTACTCTGAGCAATGAAGAGCCTGGATTGCTGGGGTTTTGTTGTCTGTCTCTGTTGGAGTTTAGATTCAAATTCAGTGTTGAAGTGTCACAATATTGGTGGCTATGTCTCTCCCCACAACATAAAAAGCTATATGCCAAATCCTCTGGTACTGAGCAAAGGTATCTAATCTTCCCTGCTCTGCACAAATGTGTGATTTTGATTTTAATGACAGCTAAATCTGGGAGAAGAAGGAGAGATGGCTGTATGAACAGAGGAGAAAAAGTAGTGCAAGGCTGAATGCTGTGATCTGTTTAAAACAAACTTGGGGAGGAAAATACAGTCCTACTTTTCTAAAGAAGTGACAGAGCTGGCATGAAGGAGACCAAAGATTTCTCTAGGTAAAAAGGGCTAATAAAGTTTTACAGTAATCAGCAAACACAATTCTTTTAAAGGACACAAATTTATTTTGCTTGTGACCAGTACAACTCTCTAGCCTAGTCCATGCCTAGCGCAGTTGAATTACTTTTGCTGTTCCATATCTGTTGTTTTACTATAGCCTGGTGAATATTTCAACAACATACAAAATCTCTCTTACTACTGCAAGCAGTAATTCTCATTTATTTCAGGTCCGTATTTAAACCCTTTATTTTTGTTGATGATGTAAAATTAGTACCAAAAGTACAGTCTCCTTCTTTTGGCAATGATGATCCTGCTAAAAAGATACCTCGATTCCAAGAGAAACCTGATCGCAGGCATGAATTGTACAAGGCACATGAATGGGCCCGATCTCTCCTTGAGAATGATCAGGTAAGAGCTGTGGGACCTGGAATTAAAGTAAATGTACATTCCTAACTCCATAATTTGCTTCAGAATCGCCCACTGAAAAACATTCTCTGAGTATTCTTGGAATCCTTGCATGTTTAGCTTGAATAATGATGCCCTCTGAAGGACACTCTGTTCTGCATAGCAGGTTTTCTGGTTACCCAGAAAGTGTTGCTCTGCTCTATTACTTTTACTAAGTGAAAAGTCAAACTGAGAAACATGAGCTTGTTCAGTCTCCACTGTGTTTATAGTCCTTTTTAAGTGATTATTGAACACTGGATGCTAGTGCAACATGGTATCAGTATTACATACTAAGGATGATAGCAGGAAT